AAAGTTGTAATATCGTATCGTATCGGAAGTGAAAAAGTGGTATCGGGACATCCCTATTACACATACAGTTTAAAAAACAGAAGGATTATAATATTCAAGAGTGACTGACACAATAATATATAGTAACATGCATTGAGGAGAACCACTAATCAGCCTATACATTTAATGGAGCTCAAAGACTGTGACTTTGACGGCAAAGTCAACAATTTTGGTTTTTCAGATCAAAATGATCTCAAATGGCTGCAGCATGCGCCAAATTTTCTTCTTATACTCCAGTGGAGGAGGTTAAGTATCTTGAGGTTTTGTTCACAAGTGAGGGAAAAATGGAGTGCAAGACTGACAGACAAATCGGTGCAGCGTCTGCGGTACTTCAAATTCTGTGGAGGTCTGTTGTGGTGAAGTGGGAGCTAAACTGCACGGTGAAGCCCACCAAGTGTGTTCCTACCCTCACTTATGGCCACAAACTCTGGGTAGTGACCGACAAAAGATTGCAGATACWGGCAGTCAAAATTATTTTTCTCCACAGGGTAACTGGACTCTCACTGCGTTCACACCAAACACATTTTTAACATCAAAAACGCATCCAGCGCTTCTAGTTGGACGCTTGTGCACTTTGAGGTCAGATGCTCGTCAAAATTGCTCTAGACACGCATCACATGCATTGGGAAGTGTTTCTTGGTCGTTTTCCTCAGCCGGTCTCTGAACAATGGCGGATGAAATTAAAGTGTCTTATTTACCGAGAGCAGCATGTCGCGCTCACCAGATAATTAATTCAGAATTAATACACCAGATAGTAATTCAAAGACATTCTGAGTTTGGTGAGTTGCACTACTCCGTGAGTTGTGCRTTGATGAGGCTCACTTTCAGAACCATCTTTGTCCCAGGCACAGTTTGACGAGCTGCTGACCCACATCAGTGCCCGCATCTCCTGCCAGGACACAGACTACAGGTGTTCAATTTCAAGGGAGACCCAGAACACATTGGAGAGAGTGTAGCTAGGTTTACATGGACATAAACACTAATTCTGATCAAGTTATTGATCCAGGTTCGATCCCTGGTTCAGACCTGGGGTCTTTCTGTGCGGCATTTACATGTTCTCCTCGTGTATGAGTGGGTTTTCTTCAGGTACTCCGGTTTCCCCCACAGCACAAAAATATGTACAATAGATTGCCTACAGGCACAGGCCACCCTTGCAAAAGAGATCTGTGATCTCAGTATGATTTGCCTGTTAAATAATGGTAAATATTCTGGTTGTGGAAATCTGATCTGACTGCTATCTCAGGGTGGGGCTTTACTCGTATATTTTGAAAACCCCTGATTTAGTTAAAATACATTTGAATCTGATCAAAGATTTTTGTTTATGTAAACAGCTTAGGTCTCTTGGTTGGCCTGGGAATGTCATGGAATCCTCCTAGAAGAGGTAGATGAGGTGGCAGTGGAAAGAGAGGTCTGGACCTCCCTGCTCAAGCTGCTGCCCCTGCAACACGACTACGAAACAAGCAGAAAATATTGGATGGATAGATTGATGGATGGACAGATGGATGGGTGGATGAATGCGCCAAGAATGATTCATCCCAGGAAACCAAATTCCTGGTGAACATAAATGTAGAGTTCATACAGTAAATGAAGTAGAGTGAACATAAATGAACTTTAGGTTTAGAATTTTGAAGAGGTTTGGCTTTTTTTAAACAGAGCTTTCTTGATACAAAAATGAAAGTTGTTAAAGTGTAACTTACCCCCCCGTGAAAAGATAACTCCGCCCCAAGGCAAAATTTGAAAAATGCATCAAAGTGGGTAGTGGGGGTTA